CGTCTGGCCCTCTGTCTGGTTATCTAACTGTTTGCTCATTCATAAATAATGCAATGTGAAAATACAGTGGGCTATAATCATATAAATAAGAGCCCTTGACAGCCGCCCAACCCGTCACAGCAGAGCTCAGTCCAAGTCAGCGTCGCGACGCGTCGGTCTCTGGGCACATTTCTAGCTGAATCAAATGTCCACAATTACTTAGCCAACGCGTATGCCTCTCTCTCTCTCTCTCTCTCTCTCTCTCACTCTAGAAGCTCCTGCTCCTCCTCCCTCTCTACCTCTCGTTCTGTTTCTTCCGCTGTTGATTCTTCGATGCTTTTGCATTTGGTATTAGCTTCAAGTGGCCGGAAGCTAGTTTATGTGGCCTACGTCCTCGGTGTGGCTATGAAATACGCAACAGCAATGCAATGCCAGCGAATGCATGCACCGCAATAAACCGCCTCCTGCCCCTGCCTCTGCCTCGGCACAGCAACAATTGAATCGTAATGCGCCTCCTGCCGCTGCTGTTTCTGCTGCTGCTGCTGCTGCTGCTGCTGCGCCTAGCGAGTGTGGCTGACGTTGCGTATACGCAACAGCTGTCATACTAAACGCCACCCATAGAAATGAAGTCGCTCGTATTTACGGCTCATTTTTCTGGTTCTTAGCGAACGGAATTTTAAATCACTCGAGCGCAATGCCAAATGCCTAATGCCATCTGCCATCTGCCAGCTGCCAGCTGCCAATTGCCAATTGCCAATTGCAATGCGGGTATCGACGGGCGGGAGACGACGGAGAACGGAAGACGGAGCACGGAGAACGGGGCAGGGACGAGAGTCGAGCATCGACAATCGAGAGCCCAGCAGGCTGTGGCAAGAGGCTTACGCAAAAGCCAACAGCTGACAGAGCAGACAACGAGCCGTAGCTGCTGCACTCATCAATGCAACAATGCCGTGAACCTGGGGATAAGCTGCTATTAGTGGCGTTCCAATGGGCAGAACGTAGGCCAGGACATATGCAAAAGGTCACTGCCGCACATATACACAAAATCTGGCAGGCAAAAATGGTAGCCTGCCTATACTTATATGCTCCAGCTAAGCCTATGACGATAATGAGCATGAGAAGGAGAATATTGTGTAGTATATATGAAATCTGAAGTCTCTTGTCTTCCTCTCTTTCTGTTTTATAACGATATTTATATCGACTATAAAATGATTCAGTATTTCCAGTGAAATCTAAATAACTTCATTATTCATAGTATCTAATATCTATCTAGACATCAAATACGATCTTCCTGCCGTCTACTTTCCCTCTCTAACTCTTTTTCTCAGATATCGATATATATCGACTATAGAACGATGCAGTATTTCATGTGAAATTTGAAGTCAAGGTATGATATTTAGATACAATATATATACAATATTTCGCAAACTATGTATATATCTTTCTCTTTCTCTCTCTGTCTCTATCTCTCACTGATATCGATATATATCGACTATAAAACATTGCAGTATTTTAAGCATGCCTTAATTTGATATGCGGACATATAATAGTCTAATAACATTCTATCTCTCTCCCTCTTTCTCTCTCTCCCTCTCACACACACTATTTCCATCTCTCCTCTTATATCAATATTTATTGTCTATAAATCTATGTAATATTTCAAGTAAGATCTGAGTCACATTACTTTGCCTGTTACATACACGACTACAAGTTGGGCTTGCCCAATTACAGCTAATGGCTACAGGGCAGACGACCAAATATGGCTCGAACATGTTAGCCAAAAGTAAGCGCATGCGGCTAAACTAGAGCTGAGTCAAGCAGAATCCGCTCGGAGCGTGGCCACAGCAATCCTCGTCGAGTCGAGGGATGGAGAGCAGCGGGGTGGATGGCACACACACACCCACAACACACACCCACACACACACAGAGAAACACCTTTACCGTTACCTAAGTGACAATCTGATATTGTAGCATACTTTTGTGGGCACAAACTCGCCATTAATACACTCGCCACACGCACACACATACACATGCTCTATTAGTGTGATTAAAGCCATTTGTGTGTGAGAGAGAAAGAGAAAGTATTTGCGGACATTGTCTACGTAACCTTCGTGGGCTTTGCGTAAGCAAAAAGGGGCTGCCAGCGCGTTGAAAGTAGCTGCGGGCACACGTGCACATGTGTTTGTCTTTGTGTCTGCGTGTGTGTGTGTGTGTGTGTGCTCTAAAAAAGTAAAGCCCATAAAATGTATAAACACAATTTTCACTCGACCTGAGCCTTTTGCCAGGCTCCTCTACCATTTCCACTTAAGCCTTAAGCTACTCGCCAACCTTCTGCCCGCTGTCGCACAACTATTTCCTTTTTGGCCTCTGCTGCTGCTGCTGCTGCTGCTGCTGTTGCTGTTGCTGTTGCTGTTGTTGGTTCTTCGGCTTGTTTCCTTTTGAATTTTCTCGAGTGGCTACACTCCAGAGATTGCACATTCTATGCTAGCTTTACATATTTCGTTCATCTTATTTATTATATACATATATTTAT